TGTAATGTAGAATCAGTGGGAGCCCTGAGCTTGTTTTCCTGCAACTGGCTGGTCCTATCCGGGGGTGAGACAGATATTCAGGCATTAGATTCTCATAAGAAGTGTGCAACCTAGATCCATCACATGCACAGTTCACAATGGGGTTCGCGCACCTATGAGACTCTTAATGCCATTGCTGATCTGACAGGAGGTGAGCTCAGGAGGTAATGTGAGCGATAGGGAGTGACTGTAAATACAGATGAAGCTTTGCTCTCTTGCCCACTACTCACCTCCTGCTGTGTAGTCCTATGCCTAACAAGCCATAGAGTGGTACCAGTCCCTGGCCCAGGGGCTGGGCACCCCTTATATAAAGGCAGGACTCACATTTGCAGAATAAAATATGGCCCATTGGTTGCTTGAAAAATGTAAGTGGTAGTTTGGTTTTGTAAATCTGGCTTTACAAATATACAATGGAATTAACTGTAGAGAGAGATTTGAGTATAAAGATAACTGTTAAGACTGAAATTAGAAAATTATGTACACATAAAACTTACAGACAAATAGTATTGTGGTAGTTGAGTATGGTGGTCCAGCCATGATCACTAGAGTTTAACATTCTGCATTTTGATCATCATGTTGTCTTTTCTACAGTGAATTGAAGACCGAAGGTGTTTCCCCTTATTTAATGTTGATTAGGTTACGGAAATGAACTGGCTGGCTGAAGATCTGATTTAGAAAGACTGCGTGAGTCTTATTTATTCTCTGAAACACAGCACAAATTTCATGTTAAAATGGCACATTGCCATTATTTAAATGGAACTTATTATATACCCATGGCTTTGCAAGAAGATGACATTTCAGAAAATCAAACAAATATATATTTAATGGATGGACTCTTCAAAACTTACCAAGTAGGTGAAGAAACCAGGTGCCTGCCTTCCCGTGATGGAAGACGGAATCTGCTTTAAATTAAAAAAACACAAATCTGAATCTTTTTTTCAGATTTTTTTCTATGGGGACTGTTTTAAGGTTATCAACTCTGACTTTTTGATAGTGGTTTTTAAGAGTATAAATAGAAGGGAGAGTATATATGTATGAATGAACATACATTTCCTGCATATATATGTATGAAGGGCATATATATGTATGAATGAGCATACATATTTGAAAACTGACTTTTGGATGATAAGAAAAATCTTACAGTCACATGAGTTCATCTCATGATCCATTGTTTCTTGGAAAAATTATACTCAACTGAATTACGGACAGGAGAAAGAGTGGATTTCTTTTAGCTAATTCCCCAACCCATATGCCCCTCTGAAGTTGAGAGTCATGGCTGCCTCACCACACATCAGAGAATGACTGTTCTTCGGTAGTTCTGGGATTAAAAATTGGTTTCTAGAGGTAACCTGTACACATAAACACACAGGGATGCACATGGCGTCCTCTACCTTTGTGACTAACTTTCTTCTTGATATTTATTAATAGTATCTAAATAAAGTATGGGGGGGTAGAAAAATAATGCTGTTAGCCCATACTCCCATGAAAACATTTATTATAGGCTCAAAGGAATAATGACTGCTGTCTGCAGCCAGAAAGAATCTGAATTCATGAATTGGAAGGATAGATCTCGTGTTTTTGTGAAAGTTTGCTTAAATTCTGATACATGCCTTCTTTGTAGGTGGAGTTTGTGATTGCAGTGAATAGACCAAATCTGACTCGCAGAAATGCAGACATACAGTCAGGAAAGAAGAAACTTCAATTAAATGTATAATGAGAGACCTTGGTCCCCCTAAAGGATGAATTTCCTTTAGGCCTTTGATCTTCCCCTCTAGTGTGTAACTTTAAATATTTGCTCAGGAAAGATGCTGACGCTTTCATAGTGGAATGTGAAATATCAGTATTGTCTATAAAATATTTGAAGATATATAAAAATGAGATGATATAATGTATTTATAAATTTATCCAAGTACTGTAATCCTTGAATTGTTGTGTAACTGTATGTGAGTTTTATGCTTCATGGTATCTTTGAAAACATTTTTATTGCTTGCTTATTTTGAAGGTATATTTATCTGTTAACATTTAGGGCATAGTTACCCTATGCCAGGAACAAGACTAAGCACTTTACTTGCATTAATTCCTTTTATCTTCCCCAAAACCCTCAGAAGCAGATCATATCATTTCTGTTTTACAGAGGAAGATACGGAGAGTGGTTGAGTAATTTGCCCAGCTGCTAACTGTGAAGCAAAAATTTGAGCCTTTTGACTTGGCTATTGATATTCATTCTACTTGCTCACATGGTGGTCTAAGAAATTTCCCAGCTATAGAAATCTCTCTGTTTTTGCCACTTTAATCAACACATAGCTTCCTGGATGTCTGCCTGTGTTATTTTGTGGATGACAGTAAGAAATAACAAACACTGATAAAATCAATATTTTGCTGAAATGAGTTGATCTTTCACCAGTTGGACTACCATTGTGAGAACTCAGTTGAGATAAACTTCCCTGCTAAAAATCTGTTTATCATACATTTATTATTTATAACTTTATGTCACATTGAAGAATTTCTTCATGATACATTTTCAGGCACACTTGTAGGAAAATTAGGACCATGAATCCTGCTTTAAATATTTGCAGTGTAGTAAGAGAATCCGTCTTTTACTAGGAGACCAGATTCCTTTAATACCTCATT